TTTAATTATATAAATACAAATAACAGATGAATTAAGCAAGTTAATTAAATAAATCAGATAAATAATTCTAAATTTTTATATTTATTACTTAACTTAATATTTACAAATATATTATTTTCATATTTATTATTTACTCTTTTTTTTTTAACCATTCAAATATTATACTCACCGAAACATATAAAATACTTACAAATATTGGATATTCTCATACCAATGCGCACCCCTAATAAAAAGTTGAAAAACAAAAACCCAATAGATCGTTTCCCTAGTTGGGAAATCCGGAGCTAAAACTCAGCCTAGCGGTTACTTCCCCGTCTCGCATATTATATTACCCCAAAAATAAATAAATAAATACAATTTACAGGAAGAAAGGAATGGACTCCATTTTAGCAAAAATAAGAATCATTTTATCTAAGTAGCATCAATGATTTCAAACGTAAATCATGCAACTAATTAACGGATCTCATTTCTTTCTAGCGTCCATGTCCATGTTGTGGGAAACCTTTTTCTTTTTGATCTCTCTCTTGTTTTAACGAAGGCATAACAATTATCAATTCATCATTGAAATTGGAATATCATAGTTGGTTCTTGATTCATAAGTTAAGATACTCAAACACGAAAGGAAGGTTCAAATTTCCAATCACTGAAATATGTTTGAGGAATATTTCATGTAATTATTGGACTAATTTTTTAGTTACAAGATAATATTAAAATATATAATGCGTCATCGAATATCTTCCTGTTAGGTCAAAGATCTGCCAACAAGTGGTATAAGAGTCAATTGTTAGCCTAATCAATAATAATTTTAGTTTTAAATCAGATTTAGAAAGAAAAAAAAAGAGTATATATTATGCAAATTCATAATAAGTATACTCATAGATGATGTTCTGCTCATGATATATATACTCATAGACAATGCATATATATCAAAAAATGAATCTATGTCAAAAAAACAAATATTCTCACCAAAGCCTTCACAACTCACAAGTGAAAGGAAGAGTATTAAATATGTATTCCCTTGTGAGTGTTAAAGAATAAGAGTTTTATATCAAAAAAATAAAAATATAAAGGCTAACTTAAATATGTCAAAACTCATATAATTGCTACATTAATCTTTTATTTTCAAGACAGTATTCAAACATATGATGTGCCATTGAATGTCTCCCCTGCACTCATATGTCCATTAACCATTTATTTATAACTTTATTAATTTGGAAGGGCTTAATTCAATAATTAATCTATTAAATATCAGCTTGATTTCATTTTAGTCTAGAAAGTATGTTTTATTTCTAAGTGATTTATAAACTTTGGAAAATATTTTAAAATGGTCGACTGTACAAAATTTTTGTTAGTTTTAATGGAAGAATTAACTTAAAATTAAAACAGAACAGTCCTCTAAGTTTTAAAAAAGTGATACTATAATCTCAATAAAATATAATAAATCAAGGAATACTCTATAGAGATAGATTAGTTAAAATTTGTGATGAAATTGAGCAATTAGCTCAATTCAAAGAGAGAAACTTGGCAAACTTAGAATGAGAAGCTTTAGAAGTGAGTATTGAAAATACAATAAGAGTTAGAACTCTTAATTACAAAATAAGAACAAAAAGAGAGAATAAATACATTAAGAAATATTAGTAATACACTTCTATCAACATGAGTAATGAACAAATAAATCAAATTAACATGTATTTACTCAATACATTAGGAAAAAGTATAATAGATATAGAAAATATAATTATCATAGATAAGATTCTAGAAATAGAAACAATTAAAGAAAATACCCTAAGAAGAATTAAAGAAATGGGAAAATCTCTTTCTCAAGAATTTGATTCTATTAAAGAAAGAATAAATAATGTCAAACATTCTAGAAATTTGAAAGACATAAAAGAAGAAATAAGGTTTATTAAAAACTCAAAGACTTTGATATCTCAAGTAAAAGAGATAGAAATCAAAATAGAAGAAATTTTTGTTGGCTCAATGCACTCTAAGAAGAGGGGTGAATTGGAGTTGGAAGATTTTCACCTCTTTGCAACCACCAAACAAAAATCAAAAGGAGAGTAAAGAAGAAGAGCTTGCATAATGATTTTATAGAGGTTCGATCCAACCACTTAGAGCCTAATCCTCTACCTTAGCTTCACTCACCAAGGATTTCCTCCACACTCTCCACTAAGAAAAACAATGGTGGCTTAAAGGAGCCACTCAATCCTTTTACAAGAAGAAGAGTGTTTCTCTCAAATCTCACCCCTTTACAAGTTATAAAGAAGAAGAGCTTGCATAATGATTTTATAGAGGTTCGATCCAACCACTTAGAGCCTAATCCTCTACCTTAGCTTCACTCACCAAGGATTTCCTCCACACTCTCCACTAAGAAAAACAATGGTGGCTTAAAGGAGCCACTCAATCCTTTTACAAGAAGAAGAGTGTTTCTCTCAAATCTCACCCCTTTACAAGTTAAACCCCAAGAATCCTATCTACAAATCACTCTTGAAAGATTAATCACACCTCGAAGATCACTCACAAATAGAACAAAAAGAGGATTACAAGAAAAGATCACTCAAAGATCAAATACTCAAGTTAAAGCACAAGTAAGTAGGTAGAGATATTCAATATAAAACTCTAAAACTTGTTCTAGATCTGCTATCAACCATATTTATAGTCCTTTGCTTGAAAATAGTCATTTCTAGCCGTTGGGAGTCATTTAATGCTTTGAAGGACGTGTAATTTCGAATTGCAAAATTGTTAGCATAGCCGACTTAGACTTCTAGAGCCAGCTCCACAGCCAACTCCACAGCTAGCTTAAAAAAGCTTAGCCGGCTTTGCAGGTTTCCTGCACATTTTGTTTTTCTTGAGAGCCAGCTGCAAAAACATAAAGCTAGCTTTGGGATTCCGACTTTAAAAACATTAAATAATCTTCAAATAACTCAACCGTTGTGCATTAAATATGCCCTCACAGCCGGTTGCAAAGTCAAAGCCGACTTTGCATCTGTTTTCCACCCGCGCCAAACAACAAACTTGAAATTTTCGCCCATAGAGTTGGTTGCATCTTCTAGAGTCGGCTCTTTGCCATTTTACCTTCCAGAGCCGGCTGCAAATTTCCTTAAGCCGACTCTTTGCACATTTTCAGCCTTTTTGGTCCTTTTTAGTGCAATCCAAGTTTACTTATTTTTTCTATCTTTTAGAAGTTTAACTACACACTTAAATAAACCAATTAGTCACTCAAATGTGTTTTGTAATCATCAAAATCATAGGTACAACAATTTTGAAGATATTAAAAGCAATTGTTGAAAAATTTGCAGTAAAAACTTAAAGATGTATAATAGAATAATTCCACAACTAGAAAGTGATATAGATAAAAATTTTTATAAGATCCAAATACAACTCAAGGATTAACAAGATATTATAATATCAGCCTATAGTAAGTGAAATATTGTAGATAGAAATGAAGAATTTAAAATAATCTTCAAGATTTTCACAGAAAAGCCTAAATCAAAAGGGATAATACTTTTCTTGTTAAAAACCCAAGAAGAAAAGTTGAAAGAACTTGAACAAAAATTCTTAGAAGAAGAAATGTAGAAGAACTAGATAATTTGTGCAGATAGATTAATATAACTATTAAACAATTAGAAAATATAAAAATGAATACCCAAAAGGAAGAAATAGAAGAGGAAAGTGAAGAAGAAAAGGATGAGACACATCCTAATATAACCCCAACAGAATTTCTAGTGCCACTTGGAGCAGAATCCATCATAAGCCAAAGTTATAGAAGAAATAGAAATTTAACACATGAAGTGATATATGATAAAAAGAGTAAGAGATTTGGGAATCAATTTAGACTTGAAACGCCAGTTAGAATTAAAGAACAAATAATTAGTACTAATGGTATTTGGTTAGATCTAGATTGTGTTACCAACCCAGAGAAGGTCATTAGTGACTAGGCCCAAGCTACTTGGATAGCCATAGCAAACAAAAATTGGAATGCCTTACAAGTAGTTAGATTTATTGAAATCACCTATAAAGGGATAGTTCACGATTGGTTTGCTAGTCTAAATGAAGAAGATAGTAATATCATTATAAGTGAAAATCTTGCTTTAGAAGAAGTTAATGAAAACGAAGCAATTCAAGACATAATAAATAGGTCCAAATTAGCCATAAGGAAAGAATTCTTAGAAGAAAATTGGGAAGAAAATCAAGGAAAAGAGGAGGCTAAAATTGGAAGAATAGCTATATGAAATTTGCAAAATTTAGAATTATGTGATCCTTGTGAATTAGATGAATACATTTGCCTATTTCAAAAATACTATTATAAAGCTTCAAATCATGGGATAACTAAAGGCCTAATGGAATTGTTTCTTGGAAAATTTCCTAATCTCTGGGGAATAAAATTGGTAGAAGCCTATAGAATATATGTAGAAGATAAGAAAGATAGTTTAGGATTAAGGATTTGCTTCACTAAAACCAAAATTAATGAATGGTACTTAGAAACCTATAGTCAGAACAAGCTAAGAAAAAGTATGAAAAAGGGACTATATTGTCCTAAGAATAGTGATCTAATC